TTTTTTGAGACAGGGTCTCGCTATGCAGTTCAGACTGGCCTTTAGCTCACTTTGTAGCCGAGGCTGGTCTCGAACTCGCAAGAGTTCCTCCTGCTTCAGCCTCCTGAGTGGTGGGATTACAAGGGTGCGCCACCACGCACAGCTCTGCTCGAGGTGATTTTGGCCTCAGCCTCTGGATTGCTGGGATTACAGGCGAGCGGCACACCCATTTTTTTTTTTTTATTTCAGACAGCTTCTCGCAGAGTCTCTCAGGCTGAGTTGGGTTTTGTTATCCTCCTGTTTCAGCCTCCCAGTGCTAGGAGTAGATGCACGTGCCACCAGCATTTTATTTCAGTGAAAGATTAGTAAAATCAGTAACTGTTCTTCACTTTAGATTCATGATTGTTAACATTTTTTGTTTTTTTTTTTCCTAAACCATATGAAAGTGCGTTACAGGGTTAGGGTATAGCTCAGTGGTAGAGCACTTCCTTAGTGTGTGAGGACCTGTGCAGCCGGATAATCACACAGCACAAAAGAGGGGGTGGCTACAAACATCATGGTTGGTGTTTTTCTTTTCTTTTTTATAATTTGTTTCCCTTTTTTTTTTTTTTTTTAGGCCGGGTCTCACTGTGTAATACAGGCTGAGCCTGGCGTGATGGCACACGCCTGTAATCCCAGCACTCAGGAGGTTGAGGAAGGAAGAACTCAGGGAGTTGGAGGCCAGCCTGGACTATAGAGTGAGACCCTGTCTCAAAAATTAAAAAAAAAAAAAAGTAATACAGGCTGGCCTTGAAGTCACTATGTACCCCATCCTGACCTCGAACTCGCCAGGATCCTCCTGCCTCGTCTTCCTGAGTGCTGAGATTATAGGCGCGTGCCAGCAATATGGTTCTTAACTACTAAAATGGACATCTTACTACATAAACGCAGTACCTTTGTCACATCTTAAAAACTAAATATTATTCAATGTACAGTTAATAATTTTCCCAGTTTCATTAATTAGTGGCATTTTACATCTTATCCAATCCAGTATACATTCAAAATTAATGCATTGCACTTAATCATCTCCCTTTAGTCCAGAATTCACCAGCCCTTTGTTTTATTTTGTGTTATTTTGCATGCAACTAATTTTTTTTTAAAGAATCCAGGCAAATTTTCTTGAAAACATTCATGTTCTAAATATGTCTGGTTTTTTTCTTCAAATGGGTTAGGGTTAAATATTTGATTGGGCATCAAAAGACCCAATATCAAGTTGTCCTAATACAGATGATGCTATATTTAGATCATAAGGTGGTGACTGCCAGATCTCCCCATTGCAAAGGTACATTTCCAGCTTTTCTAATTAAAAAATTATCTATGGGTGATACTTTTGAGATTATGTAAATATTCTGTCCTCCATCACATTTACACCCAGTGGTTTTGATAGCCACTGATGATCCTTGACTGACCAGTTTAATAGGAGAGTGAAAAAGGGTGATTTTTCTAATTCCTAAGTCTTTCTAACTGTATGTGTATTAACTGGAATTATACAAGAACTTTTGTTTCCTGCTTTCTTGTATTTTTCTTTATTATAATGTAGCACCATCTTTGTTTTGATGCTCCAGATGTCCTACATTTACCCAGCAGGAACCACTTCACACTGGTTTTAAGTGTGTGTGTGTGTGTGTGTGTGTGTGTGTGTGTGTGTCTTATTTTTTGTCTTTTGGTTTTTTTTTTTTGGTTTTTCTCCGGTACCGGGAATCGAACTCACGACCTTGCGCTTGCCAGGCAGGCGCTTTGCCGCTGAGCTAAATCCCCAGCCCCTTGTCTTTTGGTTTTTTAAAGATAGGGTCACACTATGTAGTTCAGGCTGGCTTTGAACTCACTATGTAGCCCAGGTTGGCCTCAAAGTGATTCTCCTGCCTCTCAAGAGATGGAATTCCACACCTGTACTGCCAAACTCGGCTTCCCTATGTGCTTTTGACCTGACCATCACTCTTTGAGCACTTGCTTGGTTTTTGGCATATGATGTGCCCTCTTTTCTGTTTTCCTGTTTTTGAACTGATAGCCAGTTTTTCAAGGAGCCCAGCCTCTTTTTTAGTGGGCAGTAGTTTTCAGAAGCTAAGGTCCAGACTGGGCATGGTGGTGCATGCATGTGATCCCAGCACATTGGGAGGCTGAGACAGGAGGGTCACAAGATTGAGCCCAGTCTGGTCTCCATAGCAATTTTGGGAGACCCTTTCTCAAAATTTAAAAGAGGGGTGGAGCTGGGCGTGGTGGCTCACCCCTGTAATCCTAGCACTCAGGAGGCTGAGGTGGGAGGATCGTTGCAAGTTTAAGATCAGCCTGGGCTACAAAGTGAGCTCAAGGCCAGCCTGAACTGCATAGTGAGACCCTGTCTCAAAAAGACCAAAAAAAAAAAAAAAAAAAAAAAGTGTTGGGCTGAGGATGTAGCTCACAGCAACAGCCTTGGTTTCAATCCCCAGGACTGTGATAAAAAAAGAGAACAAGTGAGACAGAGGCCAAGACCTGGGATATCACTGCTGGTAGGTTTTTTCCAGTGGAGAAAGCTTAAATAAGTGAGTTTTTTTTTACTACTAATAGCTCCAACACTGTAGTTTTTTCTCACCTTCCCCTATTTCACATTTGTATCCTGCTTTTTCTGTTCAATTTTAATTTTTTTTTTTTGAGACAGGGTCTCACTATGTATCTCAGGCTGGCCCTGAACTCACTATGTAGTCTAGGCTGGCCTCAAACTCAAGAAATCCTCCTGCCTCAGCCTCTCAAATGCTAGAATTACAGGAGTGTATGACCACACCTGGCTTATGTTTATTTTTTGTTACTACATGTTCGCATTTTAAAAAATACATAATGTTTGTATTTATCTAAGGGAATAGGTACATGTACCTATTAATTCTTAACTTTTTTTTTAAATTTTTTTTGCTACTGGGAATTAAACTCAAGACCTTGCACTTGCCAGGCAGGCACTTGTGCCGCTGAGCTATATCCCCAGCCCCAAATCTTAACATCTTAATTCTTAATCTTAATTTTTAACATCTTAATTCTTTTTATTCCCTTTCTTCTCCCCCTCCGTCACTAGACCCTCTTCCCATTTTAAAAGATCTAAAAAAAAAAAATCTATCTCCTTGTTTCCTGTTGTCTTTTGTATTTGTAGATTTGTACTTTGGGCTTCTCATATGAGAAGTTATATGATGTTTAAACTTCTGTGTCTCATTTATTTCCCTTAACATTATAGTCTCAAAGTGAATCCATTTTCCTAAAAATGACTCAAATTTATCCTTCTTTAAGAGTGGCACAGTAGTATCCATTACGTATAAATACCACATTTTCTTTATCCATTCCTCTGTTGATGGACATGTAGGCCCTTTCCACGATTTAGCTATTCTGAACTGTGCTGCAATAAACATGAGTGTGCATGTATCACTGTGGTACATCTTTAACTCTTTTGGGAAGATACCTAGAAGAAGAATAGATAGGTCAAATGGAATTTCTATTTTTTAAACTTTTTACGATTTGCATAGTGGTTGTACGAGTTTATATTCCCACCAATAATGTGGAAGGGTAGCCCCCCCAGCTCATCAGTGTTTGTTATTGTTTGATTTTTGGATGATAGTCACTCTCTCTGGAGTAAGATGGAATCTCAATGTTGTTTTAGTTTGCATTTTCCTGATAGCCAGACACGTTTTTGGTGAGACAGGGTCTTGCTGTGTAGTTCAGGCTGGCCTTGAACTCACTGTGTAGCCCAGGATGGCCTTGACCTCTCAGCAATCCTACCTCAGCCTCCCAACTGCTGGGATTACAGGTGTGTGCCACCATGCCCAGCTGGCCATTTGTACTTCTTCTGAGAAGTGTCTATCTTTTCAGTTGCCCGTTTTTTAATTATGTCTTTTAATTTTTGTTGTTGTTTAGGGGATTGAATAGGGTCTCACTTTGTAGTTCAGGCTGGCCTTGAACTCATTTGACTTTATTTTATTTTTTATTTTTCTGTCTTTTTGAGACAGGGTTTCACTATACAGTTCAGACTGGCCTTGAACTCACTTTGTAGCCCAGGCTGGCCTGGAACTCACAGCAATCCTCCTGCTTTAGCCTCCTGAGTGCTGGAATTACAGGTGTGGTCTGCAACACCCAGACAGAAATTTGTTAATTCTGAGCCAACTTTTTAAAAATGGGACAGTAGTTGCATTTCTAGGCCAGAAATGAGTCTGCCAAAACTTGCATAAGTAGCTGAAATGCTGTGCTGCAGAAATGGATATAGTAAATAGAATATGATTGCTATTCTAATATTTAAAACAAAGTCATAAAATGGAATT